GTATTATGAGCACATATATCATTAGATATCAACCCTTGGATATTGTAAAGGAAATGAAAACACAATTAATAAAATTTAAATTAATTAATATGTTCATTGTTCTGCTAAAACAACCTGAGTACAAATTTGGCTGCTGTAACTTGTTATGTATTCAGGAAGCTTCTACCATGCTGATCCTGGCCAAGTGGCTGTGTGGCCAGTTTTCTCTATTTCTCTATTTCTCTATTTCTCTACAAATGCACTCTTCAAGCACTCTTTGAAAAGAAGAAAATCAATGTTCTTCATTCCTTTCTTATAGCTATTAAATGATAAAGCTATAACATGAAAAATAAAAGACCCAGATACAGATATTAGGGTTCAAACTTCAAACTGAAGATCAGAAAAGCAAAGCAGCTGGTCACTAGCTCTTACTCTCAGACTCAAAGGGCTGATCCTGTCTCCATGAGTTCTCACCAAGCCTCTCCTCAGCATGGCTGGGGAATCCTGAGACTTCAATGTCCTCCAATCCTCAGTCTGGCTGGAGAATGAATGCTTGACACTGAGACCTTGCTCCTGTCATATATACCTCACTAATGCTGGGATTAAAGGTGTATGATCCCAGGAGCTGAAATTATCTTTGTGTGAGCTGTTTCTCTTTAGGAACGGATCAATCTTGTATAGATCTGGGTGGCCTTGGACTCACATAAATCCTTCTACCTCTTCATCCTGAGTCCTAGGATTAAAGGTGTGTGCCACCACCTCCTAGCTTCTGGCTGTTGGGATTTAGGGTGTGTGCCTGGCTTCTATGGCTTGGGGTTGATTTTGTTCCTGAATCCCTCAGTCAAGCTTTAATAAATCATAAACAATATATCACTACATTAAGCAGTACAGCTAAGCAGTGATGTAATCATGTATAGAATCTCAAAAACAACAACAAAAAAAAACTCCATGGTGATAACTGTTATAAATTATGTTGCCAAGTGATCTAGAAAAAGCTTAAATTATTTTATAACCTTTTAAAGAAAAGCATACAATTATGAAAATTCCACATGGAATTCTTAGATCACTCAAATATACCCCAAGCCCAAGGCCCAAGAAATAGTAAAAAAAAAAAATGACCAAAAGCAAAATGGTGTGTTGAGGATGAGGATGATGATGATGATGATAGTTGGAGTCTTAAGTACCCACTCTTCTTAGTGGATGGAACAACTAGGCAGTCACCAATTAGGGAAGTAGAGAAATAACACATTTCACTCCCATTATAATCCAAAGAAAATTGGAAACACATGTCCATGCCACAAATAATCACAGCAGTATATAATTGAAGGGCACTAAGAAGATGGGAGCATCTCATATCTATCAGTGGAAGGATAGACAGATAAAACATTACATATCCATTTGATAGAGTTTGATGTCATCATACCTGATATGGATTTTCCCTGAAAGTGTACTGAAAGAAACTTGTGTGGTCTGATATCATCCCACATATGGCCAACTTTTTAACATTGAGACACCATGTTGTCATCTACAAAGTTCACACTGAGAACCACACAACTAAGCTACAAAAAGCATTTCATAAAATGACAAATCAGGGTGCTGCAGAGATGGCTGTCAATTTTCAGGTACATTCATAGCTATCTTTGGCCAGATGCAGGTCATGGGCCTCAGGCTAGACACACCTGCAAGTTTCAAAATGAGCAAACTCGTGGAGATTAGTTTAGGCTAGGGATTGTATTAAAAGGGAATACAGAGCAAAAGATACAGCTTTTTTGCAGCAAAAAGGTAAAATTAGGTTGTAGTAATAATTGCGTAACTTTATAAATTTTATAAATACATTAAAATTGCTGAATCGTACATATTGAAAAGGTAGACTTACTGTGTTGATGACACCTTAGGAATAGTTACTTTCTTTACTGATTTATTATTTGCCAATTCAATCCTTGTATAGAATGTATTCTGTTCACAGACATCCCTCCTCCCTCTCTTACTGGTTTTTGTACCCCACCGTTCTCTCCACCAAGCTCCTATGCCACTTTCATGTCTTTTTCCTTCGGTTTCACTTTGTAAAAGCTGTTATTTTTAAGAAGGAAATGAATGAAAAGAAAGACATGCTCTTATCTGAAATAGAACATCTAGTGACTAGCTACCAGAGATATGGGAAGAGAACAGAACACTTTAAGTTCTCAGGACATCAATCCACCTTCAAACACTTGACCAGAGCACATAGGCCACTTTAGCATAAAGCATGCTCTGTGTGATCCCAGACTTCTTGTTAGCCAGTTTTCCCTTTCCTTCAACATGTGCTTAAATACTTATAACAGATATAAAGAGAAAATATTATAAATTGAAACCCAGATATAGCATGCAACCTAGAAAATCCTCTTGCTGAAATACAGCATTAAAGTTTATGATAGGTCATTTCTTTCTCTATATTGCCGTTGTTGGAGTTCACAGATATGGTAAAGAAGCCCTAGAAGTACAGCCTATCACATCAAGGCACCTGGCATGCAGAAAGGCTGTGGTGCCTCTTAGTGAAGCACAGTTATGAGGTATATTCTAGTCAACACTTTGTAACTGCAGAATTCTCATCTTTGGCATGATATGAGGATCCCCCAGGACAAAGGGTCTTGGAGCAAGACTATTTCTAACTACCTATGGACAAGAGCTGGCCAAGTAATCCAGGTAGAATGTCTGGTTTTGGTGTTTTGGGACCAAAGTACACTTAAATAGCTTTTACATATGCCAGAAAATTAAAAAAAAAACTCTTAATTGGAGAACAGTAATAAAACAGGGGAAAAGAAAAATGTTTTTCCTGTGAGATGGTAATATAAAAATAAGATACTAAATGACACTTTAAAGTTGGTTAAACAAAATCAAGAAGTAAAACAAAATCAGAAGTGTGATCAGATGCCACTAAAAAGTGTGATGAATATTCACAGTTTTCAGTGAATATAATTCACTTATTCATTCAAGTCATTGCTTTTATATCAGAATACCATGGCTATCAATAAAACCAATAGAAAACAAAAAAGCCAAAAGTAGATAACTTGTTCTATTCTACCGGAGCCTGAAATATGTGCAGTAATGCTCTGAACACTGTAAAGGAACACTGTAAAAATTCTATCAGGAAACAGTGTAGAGCACTGACTGCCTCAGGAGTCCTGAGATCTGAGACATGCTTCACAGCCCCCTATTACCAAGCAAATGATGCTAGACATGTCAATTTGATCTTATGCCTTAGAAATTGAAGTGTGTGCCTACCCATCCTTCGACTCTCATCAGTTCATTATGGGGCTCACATCTAAATATGCTTTGGAAACCATCAAATCCTCCATAAGCTTAGACTGGCACTTTCATAGAGTGTTTGGAAACAGAAACTCCTGGTAGCCAATGGTTACAGTTAATGCCGACAGTGTATCCGGAATTTCCCTGTCCAGTAGCATGCATTAAAGCCCATGAGCAACACAGATGGGCAAATGCCAAGGGCTTCAGTGTCTATTCATGTAATCATTGTAATTTCACCTGGATTTCATTTACATGTCAAAATAAGATCATATCCAGCCAGGTGAGGAGAAAAAGTCAGAGTTCTATCAAAATCCCAAACTGAACAGCAAGCACCCTGTGTTTTGGTTTTTGTTGTTGCTGTTTTGTTTTGTTTTTTATTCTCCAAGGTATGTGCTCATCAAACTTATTTGACTCTTAATGAATGACAGAACTTTCCAACTACAGACAGATCCACTTAAAGGAGCAGAAGAACAGTGGCTGTAATTGCGACCACATTAACTGAGCTGTTTTTATGTAAATGGCTTCTTCACTTCTGATGGAAAATGCTGTCCTTGGGAGTAATGAAGTGCTTGAGCAAAATATGATTCCTCAAAATTAAACTCTGGAGGAAAATAATTTCAACATGGCATAATTCTGCTTTGCAATATTGCTGCCGGGTCATAAGCAGGCCTGCATCTGGATCACTGGTGAACAGAGACTAAGAGATGGCTAAATACCTTCGGGTACACTGTGAAATAGTAAAATCTAAGCAGTCTGTCTTTTTAGAATTTGGGGTAACAAAATGATTCTGCTTTTTTTTTTCTGAAGCACTGGCAAATCCACACCTTGATAGCTAAAAGTCAATTTAAGCTTTCCCTTCCCAATTCAGTATGAAAATACGCACGCTGGCCCACACTAGGATGTGACTTCCTCTTGTGGGTGTCATGGTGAGAGAGAAAGCAATGTGATCATGGATGGATGGGTTTTATATCCTTCTGAATTACATCACCTTGCTATAGGGAATTAAAAAAAACAACACAAGAGGCAGAACAACTTCAGAAAAGGGCTTCATACTTCTTGTATTTTTTAAAAGGCCTTTTCACACAAACCCATTCCACCAGGCCGACTAAAGATCTCAGGGCTGTCTAGGGACCAAGTCACATTCCAAAGCATGTCCCCACATTGTCTTTTTCTCTCTGGCCCAACTCGTTTTCTGGAAATACTAACAAACTCCTCCCTTGAAGTTCACACAGCAGGCATTCAGCACTTGTCATTTTCCTGAAGGTGTGATTGTTTTCAGTCGCCAAGATGTCAAGTAACTGTCATCGATAATAAAAGATGGAGGCACTAGACAAAGAACACAGTCACACCCCACAGCAAACAGGGGTAAGTTTTCAGTCATGCTGTCCTCTTCCTGTGTGGATGGGGAATCTCTCCAGCAAGTTCCCAAGAACACAGCAAGTGACCACACTTACAAACTTGACAACTTATAAATAAGTAACTTTAACACAAGGCTCATAATGGGGCAAGCAACTCTTACAAAGGGCTATATCTCAGAAATGTTGACTCATTAGTATTTCCTACCCCATCTCAGTGTTGCCTGCAGAACTTAAAGGCATTTCCAACTTAAAGGACAGGGCACTTGGCTAGGCTTTCTGAATGAATTGCTCTCACCATGTGACCTGTGAGTGAGACTTCTTCAGAGCATCAGTTGTCACAGACACAAAGGCATTCATGTCCAGCAACTTCAGACTTACTTTCATTCCTGTGACTCTGGTCCCCATCAAGAGGAGGTGCTTTAGGTGTCCAGGCTGGAGTGGATCGGTCAGGGGAAATAGTGGGTGCCCCTGTGCTCTCATTATATACTGTATTTACAAAGAAAATACCAGGCACTTGAACTTCACCATCAGTGACTACAGGTTCACTGCCATTTGATTTCAAATAAACCTTGTTTAGTGTTCCTGAAAGACAAAATATATATACATACATATTTTAAACATTTCTCAAAGTATTTATTCATATAAAAGTAAACATCAAGAAAATGTTAGTGTTATTTGCCCATCTATCATACTACCCAGCCAAACACAAAAAGCAAGACAGCAGTCACTAGGACCACCATCTTCAGGAGGACAGTGGTAAGTGATTGTTTCCTCTCTCATGAATCAGACAGCTTTCAAGGGAACCTTGATTTCTCTGGTATGGCTGTATCTGGCACACAAAGAATGTGAGGCAATTCTGTCCCAGCTTAGACTCACCCAGGAATAAAACACAGTGAGTCCAATAATGTTCTTTTCCCACTGTTTCGGTTTCTCTATATCACACATCATCACATGGTCCTGACCTAGGGCACACAATCTACATGGCTCTATACCATACCTGCCACCCAAAGGCAGCAAAACCTGCTCGCTTTCAGCCTTATATATCTCAAGGGTTTAATTAAATTTGGGAATAGCCGGACGTTGGTGGCGCACACCTTTAATCCCAGCACTCGGGAGGCAGAGGCAGGCAGATCTCTGTGAGTTTGAGGCCAGCCTGGTCTCCAGAGAGAGTGCCAGGATAGGCTCCAAAGCTACACAGAGAAACACTGTCTAGAAAAACCAAAACAAAAATAATAAAAAAATTAATTTGGGAATAAACAAAAATAACTAGACTAATTTACCACAAAATAGCATAGAAATAAAAAATGAATGAAGCTCCAGTTATAGCACAAAATAAATGGAGAAGGTAAATTACTTTCATCTTTAACCAAAACAACATAAATGTATGAAATAAGTGTCAATAAACTCAGATTATGAACTAACTGGTTACATTCACAAAACAGAGAAGCAAATGTAAGATTATTGATAATTCCCTTGTTTGTTTTTAGGCAGAACTTTTAAGGCCATAGATGGTGGACAATGCTTTGAGAGTGTATCACTGTGGTTAAGCCAACAATGACAGCAAACAAATGTGATATTGGCCCTTCCTTAGAAACACCCAGAAGGAAAAAGAAAAAAAAAAAAACAGAAACACCCAGGGAGAATCTTTTTCTAAAAATCATTCACAGTGAAGGATCTAATTGGATCTCATTTTTCTAAATATTCCCATGGGCCATTAAACACAAAGGAAATATAAATACAATATTTACTATCATTCTATGAAAAAGAAAGTTTTCTCTGCATGAGGAAAACTTTAACTCCAAATCAAAATAGCCAAGCAGCTGTCCCTGGCTAACTAAGGTCAACAGCTTCAGCTGCCAAAGGATTCTAAATAAAACCTGGAAACAAAGCAACCCTCATGATGCAGGTAACACACTCTTCAACCATGAGTGGCTTGTGAGGAAATGTCAGGTTTACATGGAGAAGCAAGACACCTGTTCCACTGTTTTCAGTTCTCAAATGATTTAGAATCTATCACAGATCACAAAAAAATGCACATCTAAGCTTCATTATTACATAAATGCATTGCAAAAGCTCAATAATTTTACACATGACTCCCTGTGAATATGACCAGTTAATAATCTGAGTTTATTGACTCTAATTTCATATATTTTGTCATTACTTGCAATTTCACTTCTATGTTAATGACTCCATTTCCTTGCGTATTTCTGCATGGATTTTCCAGATAACATATTTCTGTTAATGTGGCTGTATAAGAAAGATCCACTAAGATGATTCTTACCATGCTAACTCTGATTAAGCAGCAAACTCCATCAACATACTTCCAGCACATGCCTATTCCTTACATCTACACCCCTGGTAATCCAACTAAAATCAGTTCCTTGCCATATGAACTGCTTCAACAGTTGTTCTTAATATTTTTGTAATCATTAGTCTTATTAATAATCTTGCTTATATTTTTAAGCTCACCATGGTGGTGAACATGCTACTAAGCATCTGCATGGCCTAAGAAGTCTTTGGAAACAATGGTGTTTGTGGAAAACACTAACTTGAAAAACACATTTCTTTAAAATAACAGGCAGCTTCCTGTCCCTTAGCTTTGTACAGCAAAGCAATTTGTCAGAATACAGAGAAAGATAATATTGGACAGTTGCTGAACCTGACATTCCTGAAGGATATTTAGGAAGAAGGGGAAAGAGAAGAGAAAGGGGAGGAGGGGAAAGAAGACTGATGGAGCAGATGGTGGGAGCTGGGGGAGACTTAAGGGGTGCACTTGCAAAAGTTGGAACTGCCTAGAAAATTTAAGTATCTCTGGAAACTGAACACTTCCAACATAGCTGGTCGCCACCTAGTAAGCATTTTTCAAAAACATAAAAATGAGGAATCAACAATCCTAAATGATCTCAGCCAGTACCATGGTGAGGAGTGAAGAGATGCTGAGCACAAGGGGCCCAGAACACCCAGTGCATTCTCCCAAAGTCACTCATCCTTGTCTCCATTCTGATCTTCATGGTGCTGGAGTTAACAGTACAATGTCTGCAGAACTGCTCACCTTACTTTAAAATCCTATCTCTGCCACTTTCTACCCTTAGTTGGGCAAACTCTCAAGTGTCATGAAATAAGGAAAATAGAAGCACTCTAAAGTTTAGAGGCTCACTGTGAAGATTTCACTAGTGGATGCTTGTGTATAAACACTTAAGCAGCTCTTAGATCATTGTAATGTCTCAATTGCTGTTAGTCATTTCAGAATGAAACAACAGAATGTTTTTCTTAGTACTGTTAAGATAGTTTTAAATCTCAATTTTCTTTTACCATAGTGTGGTCACCAGCATCACAAAATGGCTAGAAAAAAGGTTAAGCATTTAACATACTTTTGGAGTGAAAACACAATGGCTCTTTCAAGCTAAATTATCAGTAGATGGTAAATTACATAAAGGATGTATGGCTCGTAAGTATCTGGGCTCTAAAACAAAAACAATTTGTTTTGGGTTTTTTATTTTTTTATTTTTTTGCAGATTTTTTTTATTTGATTTAGAAACAAGATTGTTTTACATGTTAATCCCAGTTCTCTCTCCCTCCCCTCCTCCCCTACCCCCCCCCAAATAAAACCCTACTTATCACATATCCTTTCTGCTCTCCAGGGAGGGTGAGGCCTTCCATAGGGTGTCATCAGAGTCTATCACATCCTTTGGGATAGGGCCTAGGCCTACCCCCATGTGTCTTGGCTCAGGGAGTATCCTTCTCTATGTGGGATGAGCTCTCAAAGTCTGCATCTATGCTAGGGATAAGTACTGAACTACTACGGGAGGTCCCGTAGATTTTCGAGGTCTCCTCACTGAAACCCATGTGTCTGGGGTCTGCATCAGTCCCATGCTGGTATCACAGCTATCAGTCTGGGGACCAAGAGCTCCCCGTTGTTCAGGTCAGCTGTTTCTGTGGGTTTCACCAGCCTGGTATGGACCCCTTTCCTCATCACTTGTCCTTCTCTGCAACTGGATTCCAGTTCAGTTCACTGGTTAGTTGTGGGTGTCTGCTTCTACTTCCACCAGCTTCGGGATGAAGGCTATAGGATGGCATATAAGTCAGTCATCAATCTCATTATCAGGGGAGGGCATTTAAGGTAGCCTCTCCTCTGTGCTTAGATTGTTAGCTGGTGTCATCATTGTAGATCTCCAGAGATTTCCCTAGTGTCTGATTTCTCTGTGAACCTAAACTGTCTCCCTCTATTATAGTATCTCCTTTCTTGTTTTCTTATAATCTTCCCCCAACTCAACCTTTCTGCTCCCTCATGTCCTCCTCACCCCTCTTCTTCTCCCCTTCTCATTCCCCTAGCTTCCTCCCCACTGCTCCCATGCTCCCAATTTGCTCAGGAAGTCTTGTCCCACAAAAACAATTTAACACGGTCTAAGAAGTAACTATAGCTCTAATGACAATTGCCACTTGATAACACTGATTTATAATGAGAAAGAGCACAGAAGTCAGCGGAATAATGCTTCCTCTGTAATGGGTACATCCTGGTTCTTTGAACCTATGACTGTGTGGCTTTGTATACCTTGCATGACAAAGGGGGCACTGCAGATGCAATTAAACTAAGGATCTAAAATTAGAGCATAATTCTGGATTTTTCAACAGACTCTAATATACTCACAGGAGTCCTTCTAAGCATAAAGCTGTGTGTGTCAGCCATAAAATGTGAGAAAGACTCAAATAGACAGTGTTTTTAGAAAGTAGAAAAGGCAATGAAATGGATTACTTCTTAGAACTTCCAGAAGGAATTTTGCCCAGTGAAACCTAATGTTTGACCTTCATAACTCTAAGATAACAGAGGCATTCTGGAAGATACCAAGAGTGTGATCATTTGTTATAGCTGTAATATAGCCACTAAGACCCTTCAGTATAAGCATCAGTGAGTTGACCTTCTAGCCAGCCTATGAAGTGAGTAAATGCATTTAAGCATTCCTCAAAGAGTATCACAGAGAAACCAATTAAATTTTATGATGGGTAACTTGCCCAAGAACAGAGTTAGGACACAGACATACACATAATACACAATTGTCACTCTGAACAATAGATAGATTTAGACAGAAGTTCTGTCCTGCCCAGTACCACAGCTGTTTAGTCCCAAATAAACACACAGAGGTTTATATCAATTATAAACTGTTCGACTGATGGCTCTTATTAGTTAGCTCTCTCTTAATTATTTACCCATTTCTACTAATCTATGTATCTCCACATGTTCTTGGCTTACCAGAGAATGCTCAGGGATCCTACTTTTCTGGTAGCTACATGGCATCTCTCTGACTTCACCCACTAATTTTTTTTTATTCCTGTTTGGATTTCCTACCTGGCTAAATCCTGCCTGTACATTGGCCAAAACAGCTTTATTCATCAACCAATAAGAGAAACATATATTCACACTATACAGAGGGACATCCCCCATCAGATACATGCATACATACTTACATACATATGCACATATACATACATATATGCAAAAATAGATACATAGATACATGACAGATAGATAGATAGATAGATAGATAGATAGATAGATCATTATATGCTTGCAGAATCTTCCTTTG